GAGCTGCGCCACGCGCGCGCGCGCCGTGTCGAGGGCAGCACTGAGCTCTTGCACCCGCTGCGTCTGCGCCGTGTCGAGAGCAACCTGGGCTTCGGCATCAGCATGCTCCGTCGGCGCAGTGGCTGCAGGGAGCGAAGCAACATGCAGCTCAAGCTGCTCGACGCGATTCTGGAGCTCGGTGCGTTGCCCTTCCAGCTCGGCCAGGCTGTCTTCGAGCTCCTCCACGGTGGTTTCGGCGAGGGTCTGGTTGGTGCGTGTGCGCTTGAGGTCGTTCTCGGCCGTGGAGAGTTGGCGCTGCAGGTGTCCGATCTGCTCGTTGCGGCGCAGCACGCGCGCCTCGAGCTCGTCGACCTTCTCGCGCAGTCCCGCCACCGCATCCTCCTCCCTTGCCCCACCTTGCGCTGGTGTGGTCTCGGTGAGGCTCTCGTTCGAATTCGCGGGTCGGAGGAGCGCCAGGGATGCGGACATGTCGCGGGCGTACTCGGACCATTGCGCAAGCATGTCGGCGCTCGTGGTCTCGTCGCGCTCGAGCAGGGCGACGATGCGCGTCTGCTTGTCGAGCACGCGCTGCAGCGCGCTCACCTGTGCCGTGTGCAGCTGGATCGCGTGCAGCCGCTGGCGCTTGTCGGCGAGCTCGCGCAGGATCGAGCCCACTTCGTCGGCGCGGGTGCGGCGCTCCGCCAGTTCTTGCTCGAGCGCACCGATGTGTGCGGCTGATTTGTGCGATGCCGCCGAGAGCGTAAGCTCGTGCTCCGCCGTCAGCTGCAGGATCCTCGCCTCGGCAGAGGAGAGCTGCGCGTCCAAATCGCCGCTGCGTGTCCGCTCGGCTTCGAGCTGTTCCTCCAGCTCGTCAATGCGCTCGCTCGTCGCCTCGTTGGCCATGTCTGTCGCAGAGAGAGATTCGATCTTGGCTCTGGCCGCAGCCAGCTCGGTGTCCAGCTCGGCGTTTCGTTGCTGTTCCGAATGTAGTTGTTGTGTGAGCTGTGCAAGCTGGTCGTGCGTCGCCTCTGCAGCGGTCAGCTTTGCTTCGAGCTCGGCGCTGCGTTGTTGTTCGGCTTGCAGTTGCTGTGTGAGCTGGTGTGTGGAGGTGGATGCCGCTGCGGCCTGAGCGTTGTGCAGCTCGGTTCGGAGCTGTTCGATCATTGCTCGTTGCCGTTCGGCGTGCGTGTGGGCTTCTACCGCAGCAAAGGTAGCCCTGCGTGTATGCTCCTCCCACACACTCCTTAGAGTCTCCACGTCGTCGAGGAGGTCGTTGTGGAACGCGCGTGCGACGGTGTGCTTCCCATTCGGCGTCGTCAGATGTGTCACCGCGGGTGTGACGAAGGAGCGTTCCGGATCGTGGACCAGGCTCTGGTCGAGGGTAAAGTATCTCTCGTCGTCGAAGGGTGCGGATTCCGGTAGCGATGCTGATGGGTCGTGTGCCGAGATGTGCGTCGCAAGACGGTGGATGAGTCGACGAGCGCCCTTCACCTCGGCTGCGTAGTTGGGCGATGCATCAAACGACATCGACGTCGAAGCCAAGACCGATTCCTCGTGTGACTCTGCAAGCCCTGATTGTGGCTGTTGGGCGACGGTGGCTCGAAGCGCGTCGAGCTGTCGTTCGAGCTCGAGGTTCTTGCGTTCGACGTGCTCGAGCTCTTCTGTGAGACCGACGTTTTCCAGCTCGAGCACCTGCAGCCTGTGATGCGCCTGTGCAGGCTCGGTATCGCGGATGGGCAGCATGCTGATGCGACGTGAGCGTGCGGGTGGTGTAGAGGATGAGTCGCCCATGATTGCGACGTGAGGCGAAAGGGTCAGCGATGGTGGTGGCGTGCAGGACAGCGCGTCGAAGGGTGGAGGAGGAGCGGTATGCGGTTCGAGCCCAAACCAAAACCAAAGCTTTGCCTCCACACTGAGGCGCGGGGCGGACAACAACACCTCGGCCTCGCTGCCAAAATTCCCATTCGGCGCAGCGTGTTTTTCGTCACGTGCCGTCTCCACCACCACAGTCTAACACATTTGCACCTTGGCTGCCGCCGAACCATCCTCACTCTGCCCACAGTCATTCAGGATGTCGTGAGCAAAGAAGAGCTGGCATGGTTCATTTTGTATACGTGCGCGCGCCGTGGCCTCACTGGCCCGACGCCTTGGCGATGGTGGTGTCGTACTTGCGGATGAGGTCGGCGGATCCCTCGGTCTGGGAAAAGGCAAAGCCGCGCGTGCGGCGCATCCTCTGCACGGCACGCACCTTGCGGATGGCCTTCTGGAACTGGTCCATGCGCGGGCGGTAGTCCTGCAGGTTGTACTTCTGCACCTCCTGCACAATGTGGTACGAGTCCGGGCGGTAGGTGCGCTTCCAGTACTTCCAGCCAAAGTCGCGCACCAGACAGATCGTCGGCACCACCAGCATGGCGAGCCAGAAGCCCGACAAGCCGTACAGCCGCGGCACAATGCCGTCGTACTCCTTGCTGAATCCCAGCCGCGGCGCAACGAGCGCATAGATCGCCAGGAACGCGACCGTGAACAGCAGCGAACCCGGGATGGCGGCAAAGGTGTACTTGGTCCACACGTCCGAGATGAGCGCCGCCTTGCCGAGCACCGTGACGAGCACCACCATGAACAACGTCGTGCCCCAGATCCACGAATAGCTCGCATAGCCATCCGAAAGCTGCGGCGAGCCCCAAAAGATGATCGTGACAAAGAGGTAGGTGACGAGGCTGTGGAAGAAGGCGTTGGCGGTCCAGCCCCAGAAGCGACGCTTGTCAAAGTACACCTGGCCGTACAGCTGCGGATAGCGATCCAGCATGCGCGCCGACAGGAACTGGTCAAAGATGCCGATCACCAGCGGCGGCAGAACGGTAAAGATGACGTTGTAGAACGACAGCGTCCACGACTCGAACGCCACCTGGCCCGAAAACGAGTTCTGGAACGAGTACCAGAAGAGCGTCATGTACAGCGTGATGTTCTTGTAGAAGCTGTACAGGATCATCTTGCTCAGCCGCGCGTACGACCAGCTGCCGTGCACCAGCAGCAGCTTGCGCAGGTAGCGGAACTGCGAAATCGCCACGTCGGCCGAGCGCGCCGCCTGCAGGCCCTCGACACCGCTGATGCCCACGCCCACATGCGCCGCCTGGATCATCGACACGTCGTTCGCCCCATCGCCGATCGCCAGCAGCAGCGACGACATGTTCTTCTTGACCAGCTTCACCACCAGCGCCTTCTGCAGCGGCGACACGCGGCAGCAGATGACCGCCTTGCACAGCACCGCCAGCTCGAGGAACACCTTGGCCAGCTCCTTTTCCAGCGCGAACGAGAGCGACTTGCCGTCGATCACCAGCGCCATCTCCTCCTGCTCCACGCCCGCCGTGCTGCGCTGGTTCTTGATCGCCTGCAGCCGCTTGTTGAGCACCTCGGCCGTGTCGTGCAGATTCTCCTCGTTGATGATCACCAGATTCATCGACTCGGAGATCAGCCGGCACGACAGCCCAATGTTGATCGCCGTCTCCTGCCGGTCGCCCGTGAGCACCCAGATCTTGATCCCCGCCGACTGCAGCGTGTGGATGGTGTCCGGCACGCCCTCCTGCAGCTTGTCCTCGATCGCCGTGGCGCCGAGCAGGAAGAGGTTCTGCTCGATCATCTCGGCCGCCTTGTCGAGCGCCTCGCTGCGGTTCTGGATCGTCGCCGCCGCCTGGTCGTAGATCTTGGACCACTGGCGGTACTCCTGCTCGCTCACCTCGCGCATGGCGATGCACAGCGTGCGCAGCCCTTCGGTGGCGTAGTCTTCCAGGTGGATCATGGTCTGCTCGGTGAATGGCTGGTTGTCGCTCAGCCGCGCCAGGATCACCGTGTCGGCGCCCTTGCAGTACAGCTTGATCTTGCCGTCCGGACCGCGCACCACCGTCGACATGCGCTTGCGCGTCGAGTTGAACTCGCATACATTGAGGATCTCCCACTCGCGCTCCACGCCGCCGATGTTGACAAACACGGAGCGCGGCTTGCGCGTGGTGAATTGGTAGCCGAGGCTCTCTGCGCCCGCCACGAGCGCGGCCTCGTCTGGGCTGCTGGCCTGGAAGATGACCTTGTCGCCCTTGCGCTCGGGGATCACCGTGTGGCACACGGCGAGCAGCGTGAGGAACTCGTCGATGATGGCGCTGCTGCCGTCGTCGGGCGTGCGGCCGTCCATGATGGCGCGCAGCTCGTGCCAGGTGCGCTGGCCGCCGATCTCGCGGCCGTCCGGTCCGATCTCGCCCGTGCCCTGCTTGCTCTCGTCGATGACGTCCGTAAACGAGATGCCGCCGATGCTGGCCTGCTTGAACTCCATCTCGTTGCGCGTGAGCGTGCCCGTCTTGTCCGAAAAGATGTAGTCGATCTGGCCGAGCTCCTCGACGAGGCTGCTGGTGCGGCACAGCGCGGGCGTGTCGGTGGGCGCGTAGTACATGTCGAGGTCCGAGTTGATCAGCGTCGCCTGCTGGTACTTGACCACCTCGACGGTGACGATGAGCGAGATGGGGATGAGATTGTTGTAGGCGATGACGAAGGTGAGGATGTCTTCGATAAACTGGCGCGCACGACCCTTGGCCTCGTCGTCGAGCAGGAGATACTGCATCCGCGACGCGTAGGCGGTGTTTCGCACGATGGCGCCGATGGACGAGGCGACGGAGAGCGCCAGCAGCAGAATGAAGAGGAGCAGGATCTGCACGTTGACCTGCTTCTCGACCGCAGTTCGCTTGATGGGTGTGGCGGTGGCGTTGCGCATGAGCTTGGTCTCGTGGCCGGTGAAGACGACGAGGCCGTAGACCCAGGGCGTATTGCGCAGCTGTGCGCCGCGGAGCAGCAGCTGCTCGGGGCTGAGCGGAGCCTTGCGCATGGGCGTGCCGCTAAAGCCGGGCGTGGAGCTGAGCTGGATGTTGAGCGTGGCATCAAAGGTGTAGAGGCTGTTGTTGGGCTGCTCGGACACCATGTTGCCGCGCAGCGTGGACGCGGCGCTGGACGAGGTGAGCTTGGCGGTATCGGGCGAGGCTTGCTTGATCTTGAGGTTGGTCTCGCCGTCCAGATTGGCGGTCTCGATGTAGCACAGGCCCTCGGGCTCGGAGCTCGAGAGGAGCACGAGGTCGGCGGGGAAGAACTCGTTGTTCTCGACGCGGATGATGTCGCCGACGCGGATGTGCCTCCATCTGCGCGGCTCGAAGGCGCCGGTGCCCGGGTCGAGCACGTGGGATATGCGCGCGTTGAGCTCCGAGTCGGACTGGTGCCGCTTGATGTCCTCCTTGATCTCCTTGAACGCCGAGGCGAGCAGCACGAGCGCAAGCGGCACGATGGTCGTCCAACGGTTGGTGGGCGAGACGCCGGGGATCTGCTGGATGCACGCGGTGAAGAGGAAGAAGACGTTGGCGTACTTGCTGAACTGCTCGACGAGAAACTTGGGGATGAAGGTGACCACGTTGTACTTGGAGGTGCTGACGTAGTTATCGAGAAAGTCGCTCTTGTCGTTGGCGAGCGGGTCGTTGAGGTGGACGATGCGGTCGCCGTCGCGCTTCTCCTGCTGGCGCCTGCGTCGGAAGACGGTGTCGACGTCGGCCTTGAGCTGGCGCATGCTCCGCTTCACGCCGTCCATGATGCCGTCGCGCGGCGGTCGGCGACTTGTGCCCGAGGTGCGTCCTGCGCCTGCGATGCGCGAGCGGCGCGCGCCGCCATCCATGCCACGACCCGCAGCTGCACGCGAGGAGGAGGAGGAGTATGGAAGATAGGACGGATCGTCTCCCGGCGAGATCTCGTCATCGGCCTCGATGCTCTTGAAGCTGTGACCGGCAGCATACGCATCGGCGAACGGCCCCTCGGACTGGTAGCCGCCGTGTTCGTAGCCTGCGGGTGTCTGTGCTGCGCCCGCCAAAGGCAGGCCGGACTCCATACTCGCGTGCATGTGTTGTCCGAAGCCAGGCCTGGGCGCATCGAGCCCCATGGTGGTATCGTTCTGGTCGAAAGAGGCGGTCGACGTGGCGAAAGGATCTGCATCGTAGCGCGACGACGCCGGGGGATAAGCCTGCTTTCTAGATGGAGCGCTGCCGAAGTTGTCAAAGTCGTCACCCATGAGATCCGGGTCGTCTGCGTCGACGAGCACATGCGACGGGGCGCCACGCGGCGCGGCGAAGCTGTCGTGGCACTCGTCAAAGTCGGCGAACGGGTCGCGGGCGGCGGCATTGGCGCGTGCGGGCTGGCCTGGCGGCCGGACAAAGTCGTCAAAGTCGTCCATTGCGGCTGGCACTACGAGTGTGCATCGAGCGCGTTGCTGCCGGGATGACGTTGGGTGCGGAGATTGCGAGAAGGAAAGGGTGATGGAGGTGGGTGGGTGAGCTGTGCAGCGCTGCCAGCTGAGACACACAAAGCTGCAAAGCTGTGCCGGCGCGCGCGGTTCTAATAGTTAGATCGTCAAATCCAACATTTACCTGGAAAATTCGGCTTCGGGAGTCGGAAGACTGTGCGGGATGCCGCTCCACTCTGTGTGTGTCGTGCCCCTCGTCATGCTTGCTTCCATGCTTGCTTGCTCGGGACAGCAACGAATTCACGTCATGGCAGACAGCACCGACGCTACCGCTGCGGGAAGCCCCACCGCGTCGCCATCGATCTCGGCGCCGACTGCTGGACCGAGCACGTCCCCGCGCTCCAAACGCGCCGTATCGCCCGTTGCGGAAGAAGCGCACGCCTCGTCCAGCGACGCACGACCTCGGCGCTCACGCTCGCCAGAACGCGCACCATCTCGAGAGCCCGATGCGCCTGCAGCCAAACGAGCTCGCTCATCCGATGGCGAGGATCGCAAACGCGACCGGCGCATGTTTGGACTGCTCACATCGACGCTGACGCAATTCAAGCGGGAGTCGCAATCGACGCGCGCGGCCACACTCGCCTCGAACCGCGCCAGCATCGAAGCACGACTGGCCACCAAGCTGCGACACACGTCGGCAGTAGCGCAAGGGCTGGAGCGAAAAAAGACGCTGCTCTGGCAGGCGAGAGAGCTGGCCGAACGGATGGCAGAACAAGATGCACAGCGCGCAACCCTGCGCAAGATGAAACGAAGACAAGCCAGTTTCCTCTTCACCCACAACCGCACCCGCAGCGATCCAACCAGACTCGCAGCACATATCCCAACGTCCCAACCACCGCGTGAGACAGATTGGCCCGTCTACTTCTTGCCCGGCAAAACGCTACCCGACCAGGAAGATGCTCTTAACGCCCAGGAGGATGGCGTGGACGACCAGATCGAAGAGCACGACGATGCGTGGACGGTCAAACGCAACACCCTCCTCGCCCGCCTCAACGACCTCAAATCCCAACTACGCAGCATGTAACAATACGCAGAATACAAGCCAAAAGAGCAAAGGTATCATTTCGTCGTGCGGTTAATACGGTTTGGGCTGCGGGAATCCAAACGGCTGCTGCTGGTGCTGCGAGTCAGACGGCGGGGCGCCACCCACGTGCGGGTTGGGCATGGCAAACCCGCCTGCGCCAGGCACAAAGCCACCCGAACCAGGCGGCGGCGCGTAGCTCGAGTTGCCCGCGGCGGGGAGGTCGCGCGACCCGTACGCGTCCGGGTACGGTGGCGGCGCGCTGCTGGGCCCCGAGCCGTAAGGCTGGTACCCCGGTGCAGCATAGCCACCACCGCCCGGCTGCGGGTATCCACCACCCGCCTGAGGATATCCCGATCCAGGCTGAGGGTACGCGGAACCGGGTTGCGGGTATCCACTTTGCTGAGGCTGCGCGTATCCACCACCTGGTTGGGGGTATCCTCCGGCCTGTTGCGGCTGTGGATATCCTCCGCCCTGCTGCGGGTATCCGGCTGCGGGAGGTGAATATGCACCCTGCTGGTGTTGCTGCGGGTATCCGGGCTGGTGACTGTACCCGCTCAGCCCATCATCCACCACCTGGGGCGGCAGAGCGCCACCTGCGCTCGGGACGGGCGTGGCGCCCTGGAGCGCCGCATCCCTGTCCCTCCTGAACGCGTCCATCTGTGCGCGGAAGGCGGCCTCCTTGTGCGCCTTGGCCTGCGCCTTTTTCTCGCGCCTTCGCTTGGCGCTGCGGTTCCAGCTGGAGATCTTTTCGTTCTCGTCGCTGGCGTCGTACGAGGTGTCGATGGGCCCGAGCAGCAGCTTGAGGCAGTACAGCTCCTGCGTCAGCTCCACGCCCGTGCTCGCCTTGACCTGGCGAGACTCGACCTGGATGTCGGAACACACGTCGACGAGATCGCCTACGTCCGGGTCATTGTCGATCGAGTCGAGCCACTCCTGTGCCTCGCGGTCGTTGCCCACCGCGGCAATCTGGAACGAGATTGCGTCCTCGCCGTAGCGCGTGGCGGCGAGTGTGCGCTTGGCGTGCTGGAGGACGCGAACGATCTTTTGGTTGGCCTCGCCCGAGCCGGTGGGACGACCGTCGGTGATGACGAGCACGAGCGCAGGCTTGGCCAGCCGGCCCTGTTGCGCGGGCTGCAGCACGAGCGGTTCGAGGATCTTGGATTCGAGCGAGGAGCCCATGGGGGTGGAACGGCCGTCGTAGGCGCAGCGCGACGTGAGCTGGTCGGCTTCCTGCACGTTGTGGATGCGCTGGTGCACGGGCGCGTTCATCCACGCCACCTCCATCCCGTCCGGGTCGAAGCGGGCAGCAGCATCGGCGGCGCGCTTGAGGATGCCCGCGAGAGCATCGCGTCTTCGAGTGCCCTCGGACCGCATGGAGGCCGAGTCGTCGAGCAGGAACATGACGTCGAACAGCGCGAGCTTGACGAGATCCTGCGCGAGGTAGGGGGGCAGCTGCCACGAGTCGGCGCACTGCGCGAGCGCGCCCGAGCTGGCGAGGTGGTGGGCGATGCGCGAGACGTCGGCAAACGTGTAGAACGGGTAGAGGTACTGGTCCATGACGCACGTCGCGAGCAGGTTGGCAATGTGCCTCCAATCGCGCAGCGAGTCCCAGGTCAGGTTGGGATTGTTCGCCGACGGCGGTGGCGCGGCAGCCGCGTTGTGGTGTGCATAGGCAGCTCCGGCAGCTGCAACGGCTGCACCGCCCAGAGCTGCCCCACCCAACGAGGCGGTGTGCGAGTGGTTGGACGAAGACATGGCAGAGTGCTGTGCAGGAGCAGGGGCGAGGTGATGGGGTTGCTGGTGTTTCTTGGATGCCTTGTAGAGCATCAATGCGGTGATTCCAACGGCGAGACCTGCCACTATAAGTTTCTTGTTGAAGCCCATCTCGCTCGCGCGGATGTCTGCGGTGTGGGATGGGGTGGGGTGGACAAAGAGGTGGTGGAAATGAAAAACGGGTAACCGCAGCCGGCTTTTTAATTGCGCGCACGGCCGCCGCCCCTCGCTCCTTCTCCTCAGCAATGGCAAAAGACGTCACACGGCATCCTCATCCTCAGCTCCCAAAAAAAGGCGGTGCAGCACGGACCCACGCGTTCCGCCCTCGCTTTGCGGCAATCTCAGGAACAGCCGTGTTGCTGTGCTGCGTTCTAGACTGCAGCGTAATTTTCGCGTCTTTTCTGGCCTCCCGATGTGGGATCGGGCGAGGCTGTGTGCATGAACGCTCGCCAGCCGTGGGCCGCGGCTGTGTTTGGCGACACTGCCTCTCTCACCGCGCCTCCCTTGCACGTCTAGCGACACGTGCGATGCGACTGATGTCATGAGTGTTTGGTTGTGTTTGCATTGCGTTGGTGGCGAGAAGGACGAAGGAATGGTGTGGGTCAACTTTGGCACACGGCTCACAGCCCATACCGGTCGGCGAGCCTCTGGACGATGACGGGCGGGAACTGCGCCTTCTGCACGTCCCACTGCGGCCCGCTCATGTCGCGGAAGCCGGTGAGGATCTTGCGGAACATGTCGTTGAGCTCGGCGCTCGGCGTGGACCATCGTACGACGGCGTTGCAAAAGTAGACGAATCCCTTGGCGGCGCCGTTGGGGTTCACCTGGATCATCTCGCACAGTCCACGGAAGGCCGAGTCCTTTTCGTCGTTGTCCTTGATGTCCCACAGCGCCTGGCACCACGACTCGATGAAGACGTCCAGATGCGGCGCCACCAGCTGCGGCTGCACCAGTCCCAGCCGGCCGATCGTCACCGCCGCATTCTCCGAGAGCGACTTGACCGACTTGGTCGAGAGCAGCACGGGCACCAGCCGCTTGATCAGCTCGTCCACCCACTGCGTCAGCTCGGCATCCGACCCGTACTGGAGCGCAATCTCGCCCACCGCCCACGCCGCATTGTTGCACACCGACACATTCTCCATCTTGGGCTCGGGCTCGATCTGTCGGATGAGCTCGGGCATGAGCGCGGGCAGATACGGCTTGAGCAGGTCGAAGCACGAGATGGCCAGATCGCCCAGCAGCGCATACGCCGACTGGCGCACCGGCGCCTCGACGTTGGTGATGCAGTGGCCCAGCAGCGGCAGCAGCGACGGCTGCGATCCCGCCACCAGATCGCGCACCGCCGTATTGAGCCCCTGCGTCAGCCCGCTCAGCAGGTCGAGCGCCACAATGATGAAGGTGCGGTCGGGAACGTCCTGCTCCACCGCCGGCTTCTGCGCCTCGGCCTCGGCCGCCGCCAGATTGTCGTGCACGATGCCCACGCATCGCTGGAACACCGGCGGCGAGTACGGCAGGAAGCCAGGACCCACGGCGATCGTCACGGACGACATGCACTCGAGCAGCGGGATCAGATCCGGATCCGTATCGTGCAGCCCTTGCCACTTTGCGATCAATGGCGGCATCACGATCTCGACGTACTCGGGCCGATTCAACGCCGAACCCACCGAGTCCGCCAGCGTCCCCAAGGCATCGTAGAGGATGAGCAGATTCTTCTGTTGGTACTTGTCAAACGCGTATACGAGCGTCTTGAGCACCGGCTCGAGGAACGGTTCCAAGTTGCGTCCCGCCTCCTCCTCGAGCGTGGCGAAGGCGCTGCAGCCGGCCTCCTGGACGCGCTTGTTGTTGTCGAGCACCATGCTCAGCAGGCCCTCCATGGCAGGCACGAAGAACTGCTGCTGGTGCTCGGGCGTCTCGGCGGCCACGCACCAGCTCGAGTATCGGCCGAGCGTCCAGCAGGTGATGGAGCGCACGAGCGGTTTCGAGTCCTTGAGGCTGTTGATCAGAAACGGCACGAGCGTGGGCAGATGCGGTTGGATGCCGGCGATGCAGCCCTCGGCAATGGCGCCGAGCGCCAGGATGCCGCACTCGCGCTGCAGCCAGTCGTCGCTGAACAGACGCTCCTTGAGGTAGGGCAGCAGGATCTCGAGCAGCTCGTCGCCAAAGTTGACCGCCATGACGTCGAGCGCGGCGGCGGAGCACTTGCGCAGATTCCAGTCCGAGATGCCGTCGTCGTCTTCGTCGTCCTCGTCGTCCTCGTCGAAGTCGTCCTCTTCGTCGTCCTGCGCCTCGATGGCGGCACGCGACTTGCCCGTCGCCGCCGCACCGCCGTTGGCCGCAGCGGCGTCGTCGAGGTGCTCGTTCCTGTGCGCGCCGCCGCCGCCGTAGTGGCGCGGCTTGATGTCCTCGGCACGATCGGGCACGGCGGCATCGTCCTCGTCGCCGCCGAGCATGAGCAGGTCGAGCTCGTTGTACACCATGCCCTTGAGCAGCACGGGCGCCACCTTGGCGAGGTAGGGGCGCAGCTTGTCCTTGAGCGAGGGCTCTTCGGCGAACTGGAGCCAGAACTCGCACGCCTCGAGCGAGACGTCGTCGTCCTTGTCCTGGGTCGAGTAGAGCATGTATTCGACCACGTTGTCCATCTCGGGGATGAGCTTATCTGGCCTGACGCCGAGGATGAGCACGAGCGCCTGGCATACGTATCTGCGCACGTTGGCGCTCTCGTCGGAGGCGCGCTTGAAGAGCGCGGCGAGGAAGGCGTCGATGTGCGCCTGGAGCGCGGTGGAGCCGATCTGGACGAACTGGTTGAGGCAGTTGAGCGCATGCATGCGCAGGCGCGAGTCGGCGTGCTGGGTGGCGTTGATGAAGTTGGGGATGAGGATGTCGATGGGCTTGACGCCGTTGATCTCGCACAGCTCGAGCTCGCGCGGAATGTCTTCGCAGATCTTTGCGAGCGAGCTGAAGGCGCCCTCTGCCTCGTCTGTGTTTTGGGAGCCCATGAGTTCGCCGAGCTTGGAGAGGCCTTCTGGCCAGCCCTGCGGCGTGAGGATGGTCATGAGCATCGAGACGACCTGGGTGGCTGTGCGGCGGAGCATGTCCTCGGGCAGGCTGAGCGCGGGGATGATGGCCTGCTTGACGTACTCGAACGACTCGGGCGAGATGAGGTCGTGGTGGAAGAGGATGTGGTTCTTGAGGATGAGGCCGGCGACGGAGCGCGTTGCGAGGTCTTCGGTGGTGAGCGAGGTGAGGGTGAAGACGCAGTAGTTGGCGTAGTCGGGGATCTGGCTGACCGCATCGAGGCGCTGTTGGAACAAAATGGGAGGGGGTCAGCGAGGATTCTCGTTGTGTTAGAAAGCGTGCGCAGGGGGACGTACCTGGGCGATCCTCTCTTGGACGTCCATCTGTGGGCTTTGCGAGTCGCGGAAGAGCTGAACGAGCTCTGCGAGCCCGTCTTGGGACGGTTGCCAGGTTGATGTCATGCTGGCGAGGATGTGGAGGTATGGACAAGTCGAACGGAGCGCGTGTGCCGTGTGCGTATGCGTATGCGTATGCGTGTGCGTGTGCGTGTGCGTGTGCGTGTGCGTGTGCG